TTTGCCACAATGGTGACACTCAAGGTTTGCATACCTTCCAGACTTGCTTTTACTTCGATTTCTATCATTCGGACCCTTGCTTTTACTTCTCCCCCGCCTTTCAACGAATAATACATCCGTCTGTGAAGAAGAACCCTGTGATTTTCTTCTCATCTCTTCGTTCAGGACACTGCTCTTCACCATATCCATGGAGCAAATTCCATTCGGGGCTGAGTTAGACAAGGACGTTCTGAACGTCTCCCACGAGTCCGGTAAAGTACCAAGAAGCCACAACCCTTGTATTTCATCGTCAAACTCGATATTCATTCCAGCCAGCTGATTAATGATTCCTTGGAATGTGTTCAAGTGGTCTGACATAGTCTTTCCATCTTGGTACTTCAAAGCCATCATCTGCTTGATCAAAAACAACTTGTTGTTCCCGGTTTTCCGCGCATATAACTCTTCGAGTTTATTCCACAAGATCCGTGCATGCTTTTCTTCACTAACGTGGTTGAGGACATTATCATCTACCCATTGCCTAATGTAGCCACACACCTGACGGTGACAAAGCTCCCATTCTTTATCGGTTGTATCCGACGGCTTCTCATCGGTAAACACGGGCAAATAATAATCCTTCACATACAAGATATCTTCCATCTTCCCTTTCCACACATGGTAATTGCACCCATTCAAGGTAACCATCCGACTTGTGTTAGTCTCCATGATTTGGACAAGGTACACGAACCAACCTGGCTCTCTGATACCACTTTGTTGTGGTTAAAGCCACCAAACAAAGATGACTTTAACCGAATAATAAAGCACCAAGTCCACTCAACAACAACAATAACCACAAGCAAGAGCAACCAAACAACGATCAAGCAAGCAATCAAATGACACGAGATTTTTAGCGTGGAAAACCCCAAATTGGGTAAAAACCACGGGACCCGTAGGCCGCTTAAATCATCTACTATTCAATCCGATAATGGGTACAACCGAAATCCTCTTTAGTTCATCAAACTAGAGGCAAACAACAATCTTCAAGATCACAACACAAGATCTTGGCAAACACAAGAAACAATTCAACAAAACACCCCAAAATATTCCCTTCACGTCACTTACGAACAGACAGCCCAAAAGTGCTCAAAATCCGATCTCCACCGTTCAAAACGAAGAGTAAGAAGTTATGAACCTGTTGTCCAAATTTGGTGACGATCCAACGGTGCAATCTCCGAGAATCGGCGATTTCCTGTGACTGCGCAGTGCAGTTGCGGGAATGAAAAAGATGAGTGTATAAACTTGTTTCTGTTCCTTTTTTTTCTACGTTGCTGCGCTGCGTAGGTTATATCAAGCAGATTTTTTTTTTTATTCTTTTTATTAAAGAGAATGGGCCTTTGGCCCTTATGTAGTCCAAGCCCACCGTAATTGGGCCGGACTCAACACCATATTACCTGCAATGTAAAATAATAGAGTTATGATTGAATAGATAAATAAACTGCGAACATAAATACTTTGACTAAAACACGATTGCCAGATCAAAATTGTATTGTTCATATCAGAAAGTCAAACTTTTACAACATATCTAACATTTTGAATAGCAAAAGAATTGCCGAAGATTCGAATAATTTAAGTAGACGTGGACATCTACCTAAATTATTTAACTTAACTGATTAAATAGAAGAAGAAGTCTAAATAATCTCAAAGAACTTAGTTTAACTTATAAAATAATTAAATGCAATGAAATGCACAAATTAAATAATACGAGATGCCTCTAATTAATCGGATGGGCACTACAATAGTCTTCAATGAATTCTCCATTATGTGAATCGTTTATACAATACAACTATGCGGCTTATATATGAGAACAAAACTAATCAGTGATGACTAAATAGATGATGAACAGTCTCAACTTTATCATTTTTGCAAGTACATTTACCTTACCCATTGGGACATGCATCGTGGGTTGCTTTCCTTTTTCACTTCTTTTGATCCCCTTTTCCTCTTTTTCCTTTATGTTTCGATGTGTAGCCTTTCTTAGAAGGAGAACCTTTTTTTTAATGTCCATGTGAGCTCTTCAGCTATTGATAAATTTCATATATATTTAATGACAAAACACAAAGAATAATTGAAAAATCCCCCCATAAATTAATCAACAAATCTCCAAACTCATGTGTTTTGCTCTAGTGCTTTAGAATTCCATGTGTTATCGTCTAACACTTTGAGAGGTCTCTATATATGTCATATCAATCAATGCTTTTGAATAGATGGAGATTTTCATGTAGAATTAAGATCCTACATGATAAGGTCTAGTGTAGGTGACTCCTGTCCGGAATGGTCCTCGGTTCAGAGGTAGAGTCTCCTCTTCTGGTCTCTGGTCCATATTGGGCGTCAGAGTCTTTTCTGGCATAAGACCCCCCGAAACTCAAGTTAGTATAGAGAGATGCATGGAAGGAGATGAACATTGGTAGTGTTATTAATGCTCCCACTATATGTAGATATTTATTTATTGTACAGACGCTATCAAATTAGGATTGCACGTATGGTTGAGCCGGTTGTCACCCATAGGTCTAAGCCAGCTCAACACGGGATCGACCTTAGAGGTTCGATCTATCTCAACACGGGATCGATCCTAGTAGCGTGACCAATCCCGACTCGACGTGGTGTCATATCGGTCCTCACGCATAGGATCGATCTCAGCCCTCTTCTTTTACCGGTTCGGTCTGCGAGGAACTATATTCCATATCACTATATGTGAAAAATCTAAGCTATGAGATGTGGAACAACAAATAATTAAATTACATAGAGTTGAACTAATGATTTGGTATTTAATGAATAGTAAGAAATTGGATAGCATTTACATAACTTTTATTAAATATATCAACCACAATTTTATGATAACATCATTAGTGAATGTGGTAATTGACTTTTCATCATCATGTAATTAATTATGAACATAAAAAAAAAATGATGATTTAGTTTCAATTTTATTGTGTGTGTGATGAATGATGATGATGTTAGAAAAAAATTTAAGATGAAAAAACAAACAAAAAGTGACACACAAAAAGGAAGTTTGGAGGTGATGGGAGTGGTAAGGTGCATGATGATGAAAAAGGAATAAAGATACCCAAAGGTGACAGCCCAAGAAAGGCCCCCTTTTGAAATGACATCGCCTTTGCCAAGAAGGATCTAAAGAGAATAGAGTTGGACTCTTTTTATCTTATATATGTTTGTTGTGTAGAGAGGTTAAAATCAATACACACACTCTCCCACCTAACCATAAATCATCGACGTGTCAACAGAAATTGTGGGTCCCCTATAATTTTGGAATCTATTGTCATTCAAGTATATTTGTTTGTATTTGGGATTTTATTTAATTTCATTCAAATTTGCTCTCATTATCCTTTGTTTCTATATATCCTCTACTCTCTCAAATACAATCAAAGCGTTTTAATTGTTGAGACTTGAATATCATATGGGACTCATTTAATTGGGCTTTGTTTAAAGTAATAATTTGGATTATTCTCTATCCGGGCTAATCCCCACGACATTCGGCATCCGTTCTAATTGATTGACCTGCCGTTGGATTCTCCTTAATGAGACGGTTATAACAACAAATTCTAGTGTCGTCTTGCATGAGTTTCGGTTGAGTTATCCATCGTTGGATTTTTTCATTGAAACGGTTGTACCAAATTGGGGTTTGATTCTCCACTCATTTTTTTTTTTTTTTTTATCGAAAATAATTTTGGATGTTAAATATTTGGCCTAAGTCTGGTTCCTTCTAGCGGAAATTTTGGTCGAATGCTCTGTTGCTGGATTCGAAATGCTTGTAGCCGCAAAATATCAGTCTGATCGGAGTTCGTTTGGCCACTGATAAAGGTTATGCGCACGAACATAGTTTTTGGCACATGTCGAGCCTTTGATTGGCCCACATCCACTCCATGAAAAACTTTAAATTATCCGATATTTATCGTGCTGAGGAATAGTATACATTTTGTTTACGTTTTTTAGGTTAAAAAAAAACTTTAAAAGTACGTATATTTGAAACTTTAAAAGTAAGTATATTTTGAAAACTAATAAAAAAAACCTTCGTAAATCTAATTGTTCTGAAACACTTCTCAAATGGACGCAAAAGTCCATTTGAAAAAATATTCATGTATGGTGCTAAATTAAGAATGAACTTATAGATATAAAATGTTTCGTAATTGAATTTATTGCTCTCAAACATTTTCAAGGTAAATAATGTAATTTTCTCCCACATCAAATATTATTCCCTCTAATTAAACAAGAGCTAGAATCTTGTGGCTTGCTGCCAAAATTTTATTTTAGATAATACATGTGTTATGTTCTTGTTCTAACAATTTTTAGGAATCACTAAAACCAATAATAATAATAATAATAATAATAATAATAATAATAATAATAATAATAATAATAATAATAATAATAATAATAATAATAATAATAATAAATCTCATAAAAAAGTAGATTATAAAGATGTGTGAGAAAGAAACAGACCATGTGGGTGGGGTGACAATTACTTTTAAATCCAAAAAGAGAAGTTCCCCAAACACACTCCAAAGTCCAAAAGTCAAAAGCATCAAATCTTTGGTATAAAGATTAATATAACTCAACAATTTATCCTGTCAAAAATTTAAACAAAATTATCCTAATCGATTAACATATATAAAGCTACAATAACCCTTTTATCCCATATGTTAATAAATAGTGAATCCTTAAATACCACACCCAAATTCATTATACGCACCTCAAAAAATCAAAATACCCTTACTAATTTAAAAAATAATAAAAATAAAATACGAAAAAAAAGCAGCCCCCCCAGCCGCACGCACC